GTACAGAGCTAATCAGAGAATTCTCTTTTATTATTTATACAGTATTCTGCTGTATGTGTGCCTGCATACCAGAAGAAGGCACTAGTTCTCATTATAGATGGTTTGAGCCACCATGAGGTTGCTGGGAATTGAACTTAGGACCCTTGAAAGTACAGGCAGTGCTCTTAACCTCTGAGCCATCTTTCCAGCACTCAACAGAGAATTCTCAATAGAGGAATACCAAATGGCAGAGAAACACTTAAACAAATGTTCAACGTCCATAGTCATCAGGGAAATGCAAATCAAAACGACCCTGAGATTTCACCTTACACCCATCAGAATGGCTAAGATCAAAAACTCAAGTGACAACACATGCTGGAGAGGTTGCGGAGAAAGGGGAACCATCCTTCATTGCTGGTGGGAATGTAAAATTGTACAACCAGTTTGGAAATCAATCGGACACTTTCTCAGACAATTAGGAATAGTGCTTCCTCAAGATCCAGCTATACTACTCTTAGGCATATATCCAAAATGTGCTCAAGTACACAACAAGGACATTTGCTCAACCATGTTCGTAGCGGCTTTATTTGTAATAGCCAGAATCTGGAAACAACCCAGATGTCCCTCAATGGAGGAATGGATACAGAAATTGTGGTACATTTACACAATGGAATACTACTCGGCAATTAAAAACAAGGAAATCATGAAATCTGCAGGCAAATGGTGGGATCTAGAAAAGATCACCCTGAGTGAGGTATCCCAGAAGCAGAAAGACACACACGATATATCCTAACTGCTGCAGTTACTGTATTACCTCATGGGGAGGTATGTCTGTCTGCCTGGTAGCCAGGACTCTGTAGGACCTAACAAGGATAAATTTGGAAATAGGCCGTTCTTAATCTCTAAGTCTGGAGAAATTGTCTCAGCCATTTTTCCATGTGGTGAGGGAAGTGGAGTTTCACCCCACTCCTCCAGTCTACAAGGGAACTCACTGCACAGTGATCTGTCTGTAGTCTTTGTTTCATATAGTCTTTGTCTCATCTGAATGTCTGTTTTTGTTTTTGTTTTTGTTTTTGTTTTTGTTTTTAACCAGCCTGGGATTATGTAGCCTCTCATGCATGGAGAGAGAGACAGGGAATGCCCCTGGAATGTTTTCAGATTCCCGGAAATGTCTTGTTGTAATTGTCTCATTGTTATGGTTATTGAATGATTTTCATGTTTGTTTGTTTCATTTTGACTGTTGACTCCGTTTCTCTTTTCTCCGTCCCTCTTCCTACTCTTTGACTGACCCTTTCTTTCACAGATTTCTCCTGATGGCAAGGAACTAGAGAATATCAATGCTGCTTTCCTTCAAAACAGGAGGAAGGGACAAGAAGGACGCACTTAGGAGTTATTGCCAAGTTCTTATGGTGAGTTTCAGGGTAACTACCAAATGCCCCAAAAATATGTCAGGTAACTTGATTAGTTCAGGGACCTGCAGAATCCCCTACTGACTTTTTAGAAAGAGTAATTAAAAAAAAAATGGCCAAAGAATCTGGGAAAATGGACTATGGTTCACTCCATCCTAGTTATATCTGAAAATTAACTTTCCCTTGAAAGAAATATCTTTGTGTTTCATATTCTGGGAAAACGGCCAAACTTCATTTACTGGCCGGTTTACTCTTGACTTAGTTTTCACTCCTTTCAAGCCCTGAACCTTTTAGCTTCTGCCTGGATGAAGCTGGCAACAAGCCCAGAGCTGCCTGATGGGCAGCTTTCAAAAGGGACACCAATAGCTTTTTAGCTTCTCCAGTTAAAAAAAAAAAAATGCTGATGCTTTATGGATTCAATAGTTAACACGATGCTCCTGCCTTAAAATTACAACTAAACAAAGTACAAAAAAAATCTGTTTTACATATATAAATTTATTATGTTCTGGTTATATATCTTAGTTATAGATTATTGACTTATGAATTATTGGATATGGTTAAAATTTTTGTAACATCTAAAACAAAAAGTTAACTTATGTTTGTTTGTTGTTTTGTATACCAATACTTAAGCCACTGGTGCTGGCACTGTTTGGTATGATGATAAACTGGAAATGAGAGTAATTCAGCTGTTTGGGGGAGTTTCGCTGTGAAGCAGAACAGAGAAATAGGGGGGTGGCAGGGGGAATTTGAGAGCATCTATCATTTTTCTGTGTGGCTGGAAATGGTGATGGCAAGATGCTGATGTTCATGAATGAATGAACAAATGAATGAATGAATAAATGAAAGTCACAAAAGATACTAACCAGATACCTCAGATGGGAGCCCATTCTAGAGACAGACACTCCTTCAACTATAGGGACAGGAAGGAAAAGATGGATGAGGATTCTGGACCCTTTGTCAGTGCCACAGAGGGAGGCAGAACGTTCACTACTGATTCCTGACAGTTTTTAGGAGGTGAGAGCAGGTGGAAAGTGAAAGAATGTTTGAAGATGCCTTAGTTCCTGTTCTGTTGCTGTGGCAGGGTGCCCTGACCAAGACAGCTTATAACAGAAAGCATCTACTTTGAGACTTAATTACAGTTTACTTCATGTTTATCACGGTGGGAACCATGGCAGTATGGCAGGCAGGCATGGCACTGAAGCAGTAGCTGAGCGCTCACATCTCATCCACAAGCAGGAGACAGACTCTTCCTGATATGGGCTTTAGAAATCTTAATGCTCAACCCCAGTGACACACCTCCTTTAACAAGGCCACACCTCCCAATCCTTCCCAAACAGTTCCCCTAACTGGGGTTCAAGCATTCAAACACGTGAGCCTATGGAGGCCATTCTTACTCAAACCAGCATAGAAGGGCTCCTCTGGGACATAAGCTGTAGAGGCAGCATGGAGAGACTGCCTATGTGAGACAACAGCTAAGCCTTTGTAGGTGGATTTCTCTCCAGATGTGAATTCATCAGACTGAAGGCTTTACCAATCAGACAAGATAGAAAGGAAGGAGCAGCTCCAAGAGTGAGGGCATGGGGGAATAAGAGTGTAAGTAGAGACGTCTAGAAGATGCTAGGAAGCAAGACTAGTTTTCACTCTCTTGAAGATAAGGCTTTAGAGTGTCAAAGGTGTGGGCAAGTTGAGTGTGGATGTCACTAATCTCAGTCTTGAGAGGTTAAGGTGTGAGTTTGAGGCAAGCGTAAGCTTCATAGACTCTGTCTACAAAGTCTGGGCACCTGAAGCAGAAAGTCCAGGGATTGAGAAGGCAGATCTTTGGAAGCAGGAGCATCATCTTATGCAAAGCTGGAGAGTTCAGAAGCAGCAGAGAGCAGAAAATAGGAACCTTCAAGAAATTGGCTTATTTTGCTTTAGAATGCTGGTTGCTTGAGGACAGAGCTGAAGCTGTCTTGAACAAGGGATGTCCCCCCCCCCATGTCTAGAACAATGTTGGCAAATGGTAAAACTCTGCATGTACACGTGTGTATGGCACGTGTGCATGAGTGTGGGTTTTACATACATATGCCACTGTGTGTGGGTTATGCGCAAGCCAAAAGCTAACATCGGCTGTCTTTCTCCACTACCTTCTTCTGTTCAGTCTCACTGAAGCTGGAGTCATTGATTCTGGCTTGTCTACCTAGCCAGGTTGTCACAGGGATCTTGTCTCTGCCTCCCAGGAGCTGGAATTACAGGTAGCAAATCAGCTGGTAACTGGGTTTGCATTCTTTACCCACTGAGCTATCCTCTCATCCACGCTCTCAGCAAAAGGCTTTTTAAAAATTTTTTCTGTGTATTGATGTTTTAACTGCATGTATGTCTGTGCACTGCTTATATGCTTTGCCCATGGAAGCCAGAAGAGGGCACTGAGTTCCCTAGAACTAAAGTTACAGGTGGTTCTGAACTTAGACCCTCTAGTAGAGCAAACAGCCAGTGCTCTTAACTGCTGAGTGCCATCTCTCTAGGTCCCAACCACACCCCAAGTAAAAATCTTTTTGTTTGTTTGTTTTTTTCAAGACAGATTTCTCCACATAGCCTTGGCTGTCCTGGACTCGCTTTGTAGGCCAGGCTGGCCTCAAACTCAGAAATCTGCCTGCCTCTGCACCACTGCACCCCACCCGAGTCAAAATCTTAATGAAGGATTAGGTCTAATGTATAATTTAGTCTTTTTGTTGTTGGTGGCAACAGTGTGATTGGGGGGGGGGTTGTTTTTCTGTTTTGTTTGGAGGTACACTTTCATTTTGTAGCTTTGGCTGTCTTGAAACTCGCCATGAAGATCAGGCTGGCCTCACACAGGGATCCACCTGCCTCTGCCTCCTGAATAATGTGGTCTTTTCATTTTGCTCTGTGTGTGGAATGCTGAAGATTGAACCCAGGGTCTACCTCATGCTAGGTAAGTCCTGTACAACTGAGCTCTGACTCCAGTCCCACGTGACTTTATTTAAAAAATTTTGGGTTGTTTGTTTTTGTTTTTTTTTATAGTTGATGAATCAGCCAGAGATCCCCCAGACTGCTTGAGTTCCATCAGGCACACGTGTTTTGTGCGTCAACTATTTACACTCCTTCTACCTGCCCCTTTCCCCCACAAGTGCCTGACATCCCCGCAGCTTAGCTGTCCTACTTCCTCTATTCCTCCAGATCCAGCCTTCGCCGAGTCTGGGACCTTTTCCAAGGATGAGACCCAATTTCTCACAGGACAAAAAACACCAACTCTGGTCCCTGAGCAAGTACCCTGGGTCTGGAAACACCAGGTTCACTGCCTGCCTGCTTGGCCCATGCTTACCCCTCTGCCTCAGTTCTGGGGCACTTCTGTCAATAGGCTACACGTCTCCCCCTGCTTGGCTGTCATTCCTGCTGCACAGAGCCCCAGAGCCCAACCAACCTATGGTCCCTCTGCTCAAGTAGACTTTAGCCCAGGAGTGGCTGAAGTCAGGCTCAGAGTGCTTGCTCACTGTCTGGGGACCAGCACAAAGGCCTGGTGTTTGCTGCAATGAGCAGAACGGTAGTGTGTGCCAGTACCCAGGAGAAAGTCAGGTAGTGTGGACTGTGGGCCATAGGCAGAGCCAAGGGGAAGTTGCTAGGCAAGCTTTATTATTGGTCAATCTGTACGGTGTCTGCTGGAAGTAGGGAGGGCAGATGTGACTCCTCCCCAGGCTGCCTGGCTTGCCCCTGCAGGTCAGGCTGGACAGGGGATCTGTTCAAAGTTGCTCCCTCCTGTTTCTGAGATTCTGAGAGATCGCCTCTGTCCCACAGCTACTGCACAGGCCTTCAGGGCCGGTCAGAAGGAGCAGGGGCCTTCTTCCGTTCCCGGCTCAGCAGGGTCACCAGCTTGGCCTTGATGCCCATCTGTGCACCAGAGCGGCCAGTGGCCCCAGCGTCATCGAGCTCTAGCAGCCTTCGGTACTGGGCTTCCAAGTTGCTGTCAGGGGCTGAGCCAGGCCAACTCAGGTCTTCACTGTTGTGGTAGACGGGGCTGCCCAGGGGGCTACGGCCACCAGGAGGGCCCTCTGGAGACTCAGGACCCCCATTGGCCAGCCCAGGACTGGCCTCCAGCATGCACAGGTTCTCATAGAAGTGCTCCATGGTGGCCGTGGGCTTGCTGGTCTGCTTGCACACAGACGCATAGAGACCAGACACTGTTTCTTCTTTTGTGGGGCTGAGCAGCAGTGGCAGGCTTTGAGGCCCAGGGTCAGTTACAGGCAGCTTTCTGGAAGTGGCCAGTTCAGATCCTGGGGCCATCTCCCGAAGCTCTCCGGGGGGCTCGAGGGAGGGCAGAGAGAGGGCCCGAGGCAGGGGGCAGGGCGGGGACATGGCCAGCTCCGGAAGGCGCTCCCGCTGGCGGGCAATGGCAGCAGCCACAGCTCCACATATGTCTGGGGCACGTGGACTGCTGAAGGCAAAAAGGCCCTCGCCTGAGTCACAACGGCGGCCAGCCTCAAAAGAGAACACACCCTGCACAAAAGTGACAGAGTTGCAGATCAGTGGCTGAGGACCCAGGACACTGACCACTTAGCCATCGTTCCCTACAGAGACCTGTCAAGCTGCCCAACACCTCACCTTGTCAGAGCCGAACTTGCGCAGGAACCGGTAGGGCCAGCTATAGAAGGCCTGGGGGCTGGAGATCTCCCGAAGCTGGATGTCATCCTGGCCCAACACCAGGAGGTAGGGTCCTCTCAGCTGGCAGCGGGTGGTTGCCTCTGTCCTCTGAACCACCACTGGAAACTCACCCCCTGTTTGCAGGAAGCAAGGACGTGGCATTGTTTCCCATAGACCAATGCGCAGGTGGGCACAAGGCTGCCCTGGGGTCTCCCCTGACTTACCTTCCTGCCAGGAGGAGTAGATAGAGTTTTCCTCCATGGGAACAAAGCCCCTTTTTGGAATCTCAGCCTGTCCTAATCCTGAAGAACATTCTCCAGTGCCCTGAAGAATAGATTTAAGTCATCAGTTAGAGCCTACCCTATTCCCACCCCTACCCCTCCTATGGGGTCAGCAGGCAACAGCCTCAACACACCAGTGCCACTCTGCCTCACACTATAGGTTTCTAGGCAATCCTGAGTCATTTCCCATCTGTAATGGAGAGGCGATACCCACTAGGCTCCCCCGAAAGTGCTGGTCTGGGAGTAAGGCTGCTTCTAGAGCTCTAGGCATTAGGCAACCAAGGCGATGTTTCTATAGTCCATGTGTGGCCAGGGACTAGGCTGGCTTGCATATGGCTCTGACAGTATGCAGCAGGAAAGTGGCAAGGGCAGCAGCAAGTAAATGTCCAGCCTCTTCTACTGTCAGCTGCACGTCAACCTTGACCTTCCCTGTCCCACAGCAGTCCTGAGGTGCTCTCAGGTCTCACTGTCCACAATAACTGCTTTTACCCATGAGCACGACCAGAGCCAAACCCCACCTCATCTTCATCCTGTGCATTTTTAACTTAAAAAAAAAAAAAAAAAAAAAAGAAGAGTGATAAGCCGGGTAGTGGTGGCACACTCCTTTAATCCCAGTGCTTGGGAGGCAGAGGCAGGCAGACCTCTATGAGTTCTAGGCCAGCCTGCTCTACAGAGTAAGTTCCAGGACAGCCAGGGCTACACGGAGAAACCCCATCTCAAAAAACAAACAAAGTGATGCAATTAACATTCCTATTTTCAGGTACCCAGCTGAGTGGTTTTCAGTATATTCACAAGGTCATCCTCTCAAGTGAAAGTCATGTATCCATCAGCTGGCGCTACCCACTTCCCTCCCACAGCCCCGCAACCAAGCACCTGCTTTCTGTCTATACGAATGTGTTTGTTCTGGATATGTTATTTAAATTTTTGAAATATGTTACCCTCTGTGTTTGGCTTCTTCCATGTCATATTTCAAGGCTCCTTGTTTTTTGTTGTCTTGTTTTAGAGACAGGGTGTCAAGCAGCCCAGGCTGCCCCACAACTGGCCATGTAGCTAAGGACAAAGTGCTGATCCTTCTGCCTTCACCCTCCATGTTGGGGCTACAGACTTGTGCCATCCTGCCCAACCTAAGGTTTTGTTTTATCTCTTCATCAGCGGATGGTCATGTGTTGTTCCGTCCCTTGGCAACTGTGACTAGTGCTGCCATGAGCACTGGTGTCCACATTTTGCCTGAACATTTCTTTTCATTCTCTTGGTTACACATGAAGTGAGAGAATTGCAGCCATATGATAACTTCATGACTGATTTTTAAACATGCATATTACATGTGTACTACAGTGCCCATGGTGGCCAGAAAAAAGGTATCTGAACCCCCAGGACTTAGAGCTGTGAGGTGCCATATGGGTGCTGGGAATTGAACCCAGGTCCTCTCCAAGAGGGGCCATCTCTCCAGCTCCACCAAGAATAACTTGCTGAGGAAGCCAGGCATGTTTGTTCTTCTATAGTTTGAACCCTGAGGCTTTCTAACCATTGGCCTCTGGCTTTATAAAACCTCCCACCCACACACGGCCCATAGTGGTTTCAGCAGGCTTTCACTGAACTTCCCAAACACATTCGCTCTTACAGGCCCTGGCTCTTGGTTGGCCCACTCTCTGCTCCTTAAACATGGCATGTGTTCCTACCCCAAGGCCTTGCCCATGCTACCACTGTGTTACAGTACTTGTCCAAGTGGCTTCGACACCCTTCTCACACCTTTGCCTGGCAGGCTCCTTCCTGTCATTCAGGGCTCAGGCCCACTGTCTCCTCCCTACCTACTGTTTCAATTTCTCTATAGCATGCTTAGAGTACAGACTCCTCCTATGGGTTTCTGAGCTGCTGCCCAGACATGTAGGGCTTTGGCAGTGCTTACCAAGTGACAGAATCTGACTAAGCAAGGACATGCATAAGTAGGGGGAGGTAGTCCCAGCAGGCCAGGTCACTGCACACTCACCGGGAAGGCCAGATGGCAGATGGGACCCATCCATGACTGGCGGTGTTGTGCAGCTAGAAGGTGGCTTCGCTCAGTGGTGGTAATCAGGAAGGCACCGGTGTCCCTGGGGCAGCTCTCACCATCCGCCGGAAGAACCGACACACAGTCAGCCAAGCGAATGACCCGACGTTCCCCTCGCCTGCTAGGCCCTGTGGGTCTGTCACCTGCTGGCCCCAGGCCACCATCACGAACGTCCCAGCTTTCCAGCCGAGCTACGCCGGATGGGCCTCCTGCATACAGCAGAGCCCACACTTTCCGCCAGCATTTCTGTAAGAAAGGAGACCCTTGGGAGGACAGTTCCTCCTGCCGCTTGGCTCTGTGCAAGCTACTTAGCAACTGGCTGCCTGGCTTCTGCCTTTCTAGGACTTTAGGCTACAAAATAAGGAGGCCTTGCTGGGGTAGGGGTAGGCAGGAAGAAATCTGTATTTGGGGTTGGTCAGCCCTGAATTCAAATCACACTTTTTCTGAATGACGTCCATAGTCAATAGTATGCTCATCTCTAGAGGCCATGAGACTATGAGACTGAGGCTTCTACTAGACTGTCTGTAAAGCTTCTAGTGGTTAGAGCAGGCCAACTGACACTGTAGCTATGGTGTTTATCACTAACCCCCAATCAAAAACAGCACTTGGGCCATGGGCTGGGTGGGGTGGGGAGGAGACCTCAACTTCATGGTGGTACGGGGAGGAAAACATGCAAATGACATCTGACAAAGGAAACAGACGGTTTATCTGCCCAAGGAGAAGCTGTAACTTAACTGTTTACAGCCTGATGATCAAGGAGGAAAAATAAGCCCCCGCCTCCACTCCTCCCCAGTATCTGGACACACAGCCTTCGTCTGCAGGGTGCTACTCCATTCTTGGAGGACTTGGCCTTCTCCAGGAGCCTTGAAGCCATCATACACATAGGTTTTGACTATTAAGACCCTTTCTGGTCTTGGCATCTCTACCACCTCAAGGCAGTCTTACAAAGGATGCTTCAGCCCTGACCTTCTCCGGCCAAGAACCTCTACTCCCAAATTCCTGGCTTTCACCTCCCCAGACTCCCTTCCCAGTACTCTCAGTCTACATAGACTGTCTAGGCCTAGCAGGTTTCCTCCTCTGCCCATGGCTGGCAGCCTGGGGTTCCCACCTTGCCAAACTTCACATGCTGCTGGTAGAGGATGCCATCCTTGACAGGGGTTTCCACAGACTCCATGGCCACGGCTGTTCTGAAGTCCCGAGGAAACTGGTGACAGGCTGGACAGGAACTCCTCTTACTTCCCCTTCTGGCCACTTCCCCCTCCCTCTGTCCAGAGACAGCTTCGGGGGCTGGGGGAGGGGAGCTTGGTCTTCACTTAGGAGACAGTAGTCAGAATAAACCTCTTGGGGTTCTTGCTGTTCCAAAGGGAGCACACTGCCATTGGGATCTTGAGGCTATGGGAGGGGGGCAGGAAAGGGGGTACTGCCTCTTGCACATGGACCTGCATCAGCTGGGTGTGACTGTGTGACCACACTGACCACACGGTGGATGCCCTGAGTCATGAGCTCTGAACCCTCCCCCATTCCCAGGCAGCTATGTACCCCAAGGACAGGAACTGCATAGCCCTGGTCCCATCCTTGGCCCCTTCTCTTTCCAGATTGCTAAACTCCTGGCAGCCACTCTGAGGCCTATGTGTCTCTTGCAGTCCTGGGATCAATCCAGGGTGTAGGGTATGCTAAGACACCCGCTCTAGCACTGAGGTATACACCCAGGCCAATCAGAAATATCCCTAACACTCAGGCTCTCCTTTCTGTCCTCACCCCACCTGGGCCCACCCTGGCTGAGTCCACCAACCCCGTCGTTCCCATTGAGTCTAGTCTGGGCAACTCCACCCCGGGGGTTCTTGCCTTTACTTCCTGAGTTGTGTTTCTTCAGATCAGTGCCCTTCTGGGCAGCCCTTACCACTGCACTGCCACAGGCTGCTGCTTCTTCCTGGAGGCCTTCCCTAAGCAGTCTTCAAGGCTAGAGAGTGAGGCCCCCCACAGCACACACACATCAGGCAGCAGTCCACAGACCTCTACAGCTAGGTTTACTGCTTGTCTTGGTGGAGTGTGGGTGGCAGGCCCCAGGGTGCTCCCCAGGGACGTCACATGCTCCTTAAAGCTTTGCTTCCTGCCCAGTGTCTTCTCCCACCACCACCGCGCCCTACTCGCCTTGCTGGAGCCCAGTATTGGGCCTGTGCATGAATACAAATTATGCAAGTATCTTGTCAGCTGTGTAATACAACCTTGGGAAAGAATTTTGTAACCAGCTGAGGAATCTTGTTTGGGGGCTCATACAGTAGACATAGAAATAGATCTGGCACCTGGCCCCATGCCCACTACAGTCCAGGCAGGTCTGAGCCCAGCCAGCTTGACTCTCTCCTTTGCATTCTCATCGACATTGCAGTGGTTAGGAAATCAAGGCTCAGATAAATTAAGTAACTTGCCGGGGGCCACACGCTAAGTAACAAACATAGCTTGAGCAACTGCTGTCTTTGCTGACTAAGCACATGCCTTACACACAGAGTTCCCACAGCAGGGGAGCTGAGATGCCTGGCTACTGCCATGACATTTCTTTGCCCTTCTTGCTACAAGGTGAAGTCGTGGTTGCTGGGCCAGCCAGTCTTGCAACAGGCATCAGCAGATACGCATCGCATCTTACCCGTGGGCTCCCCAGTTACGGCAGCATCTACCTGGTTTGTCTGTCTTTTTAGCCCAAAAAAGAGTAGGGTAGAACAGAGCTGAAGGGTATCTGCAGCTTCTACCCCTTCCTCAGCAGGTGGAGCAGGGAGAGGCCTCAGAAGTCACCACAGGAAGTGAAGCTGGTGGCAGTGTCAGACAGGCAGGGAGAACAGGGATACACCATTTCCCCGTGACCCTCAACGATGGGTCCTCTGAGTTACTGGGCATTCCTGACCAGATACCAGGAACTCTGAGATGGGGAGACCAGGCAGCCAGTCTGTTCTACAGCAAATCTGGGAGATGCTGGTATCTTGCCTCACAGTGGTGCTGAGGCAGAGGCCGAGGCCTGTCCAGGACCCAGGGGGCAGGTGGTTGAGAAAGAGCAAAAGAGCTGGTCTAAGAGACACAGGACTACTGTGCTTTAATGGCAACTGAGGAAGGAAAACAAAAATAGTAATTCTGGGACACTGGAGTTGCCCAGGCCAGCTGGGCCAAGGAGGCTGGCTTCTTGTCTTGAGGGCTGGTGTGCATGTGGCTGAAGTCCTGGGACTGGCCTCTTGGGAAGAAGAGGAAAGACCGACGGCTCAGAAGTCCATGGAGCTGTGGGCCAGGTAGTCCTTACGGCCAATGTTGCTGACCTGCTTGGTCTGCATAGCTTCCAGTTTGGGGCAGTCAGTGATGCGATGGCCAAGGCCTCCACAGAAGGCACAGCCACGTTCTCCTGGGAGTGGAGAGAAGGTTCAGCAAGGTCATTGGAACAAGTGTCAGGGCCTGAATCATGATCCAAGGCTGGCCCTACCAACCAGGACTGGTTTCCTGGTATTTTAGTCTGCCTGCCTTACCAGCTCCGGGCATCCAGCTGTGCACGGGAGACTGGCCCCTCCACCGCACAACACTCACCTCCAATGTCCAGCATGGACTCATCCCCACAGTGCAGGACCTGCAGGACAGGTGGGACCTTCTGCTTGGCCTCCAGTAACAAGGCTTTGAGGTCCATGAGCACTGACTCATCTGAGGGAGAGAGAATGTGGCACCATGAGGCTCCATCCTAGTGCCAGAACCTGGCTGGATAAACTACAGGCAGAGGACCCAGACTCACCGCAGGCCTTATTGATGAAGGTGGTGGCAATGCCGGTGTTTCCTGAACGCCCAGTGCGGCCAATTCGGTGCACTGCAAGGAAAGGAACAGCCTCCAGCCCACTACCTGGTGGCCTAGCCCTCCTCTGGTTCAGTCTACTAAGAGCCCACCCTCCCTACCATAGTTCTCGATCTCTTCAGGCATGTCGTAATTGATGACATGCTGGATGGCAGGAAAGTCCAGGCCTTTGGAGGCCACATCTGTGGCCACTAAGACATCCTTCTTGCCTTCCCGAAATGCCTCTATGGCCTTGGTCCGCTCTTCCTGGTCTGGGGAGGATTAGGTAGGTATCAGAACTCTAGTAGGAATACTGGGAATAGTGCAGGCTAGCCGGGCAGGGAAAGGGAAGGCAGGGAGCTGTCATGGCAGCAGCTCTATGCTCAGGCGTTGACCATGCTGACCTTTGCCCCCATGGATGGCTACAGCCTCTACCCCTTTGAGGAGAAGGTATTCATGAATGGCGTCCACATCTGCTTTCTTCTCTGCAAAGATGAGCACCTGTCTCAAAAAGGCCCACTCTAGTCAGAAGGTGGTGTACTTATGCCTCCCCTCCCCGGCATATATCCCTGCCATCCTCTCTCATCATGGGGCCTCTGGGACCAGCCTGGTCCAGCTGTACTCACAGGTGGGGGTGTCTTCTGCAAGCACTCAAGCAGGTACACCATCTTGGCTTCCTCCTTCACGTATTCCACCTCCTGCCACCACAGGGGCCAGGTCAGGTGATCCCAAGGTTAGGCTCCCCTGTCATCACCCTGACACTGCAGCTGGGCTCCCAACCTGGGCTAGGTGACTAGAGGCCTCTTTCACTGGGCTAGACAGCCTAAGAATGGCCTTGGCTAAAGGCCACAGGTGGACTCCAGTCAGCTTCAAGGAAGCATGGCCAGCTTCAGCCTGTTCTGGCAAGACTTTGCCCATGGAGAGTGCCTGCCTACCTGAATGACATCCAGGCTGGCTGCTCCAGCACGACCCACATTGATGGTGACAGGCTTTACCAGGGCACTCTTGGCGAAGTTTTGAATCTTCTTCGGCATGGTGGCACTGAAGAGCAGAGTCTGCCGCTGGCCCTGAGAAAGAGTGGGGCCTACGGCTAGGACAATGATTCTCAGTTTGCGGGTCTTAACTGAGGGGTCACACATCACAATTCGTAACAGTAACAGATTCACAGTAATGAAGTAGCAACAGAAATAATTTTATGGCTAGAGGTAGCCACAACATGAGGAACTGTATTAGAGGGGTGCAGCATTAGGAAGGCTGAGAATGCAGGCCTAATGGAGGGCAGAGAGGGGATGAGGTCTGAGGATACTTAACAGCTGAGACACAGACCCTGAAAAGTGGAGGGCACGTATACATTATGTACAGGGTCCTGAGAGAGGCAGGGGCCGGGCACCTTGAAGTAGGAGAAGATGGTACGGATGTCACCCTCAAAGCCCATGTCGATCATGCGGTCAGCCTCATCCAGGGCCAGGTAGCGACAGATGTCTAGGCTGACCATTTTCTTCTGCAGCAAATCCATGAGGCGTCCAGGTGTGGCCACCATCATGTGCACACCACTGAGAATGAGGAGAAACCCTGAGGTGTAGGGACCTGGCTACCCTTTGGCCTCCCACGAAGCTGTCTCTCGCGCTGTGTCTCAGCGCTTCCCCCATGCTAGCCTACGTACAGCACAGGCCACTCACACCACAGCAGCTGTACCTGTCCAGCCTGCACTTATCCTGACGTGTCTTCCCCAGGAGGGCTGTCCTGAGCCTCTAGAGGTTTTATTCCTGGTTCCTGTGTCCCTTCATTGGCATTGCTGGGCTCGCTTTCCTGATAAGCTAACTACCTGTTCTGACTACCACATATTCACCAAGCCTGGTAATACCTCAGACACAGGGATAGGTTCTGGTATGACTTATGATCTCACGGCCTGGTCCACTGTACTAGTGACGCCTGCTGGGGATCACATTACCTGGAAAGGAGAGAGATGCTACTGTGGGTCTGGCCCCAGAGCAGTACCTCAGCCTCCTTGCTTAGCCACAGTGAACGGCTCAATTTTCTGGACACCCCAGGTTTAATCTCTGAGCTTGCTGCCTGAACTGCCCCTTTTGCAAAATTCAAATGGCACCGTCCCTGCAAAGCCTTCTTGGACTTATGTCCCAGAGAATGGTACATTCCACCTGTTACATTTCCACAATATCCAGCTGCATCCTTCCATCTCATCTCACATTTTTCCTCATGGCCTGGACTCAGAGGAAGACTCTGTGAGGACTGTCTAGTAGTTACACTAAGGGGGTCTTCTGCTTCTCTGGGAACCTCGGGGTCACCAGCGGCACGGTGTGCACTTACTGTCGGATGGTCTCCATCTGCTCTTTCACTGACATGCCCCCAATGCAGAGAGCACAGCGCAGCAGGGGTGAGCTGTCCTCTTGCAGCAGACGGCAGTAATACTCCAGGATGCCGTGGGTTTGCCGAGCAAGCTCTCGCTGAAGGGAGAGACAAGACTAGTACCAGAAAGCAGCCCGTCCTTCTCCAGCCTGCCTGGCTAGCCCACCTAGCTTACCGAGGGGCAGATGATGAGTCCATAAGGCCCTTCACGCCTGGAGAAGGGCAAGCGTTTCTCCTGCTCCAGGCAGAACATGATGACAGGCAAAGTGAATACCAGCGTCTTGCCTGACCCCGTGAAGGCAATGCCGATCATGTCCCGACCCGACAGACTGTTGAGAGGGGACAGCTTCAGGACTGGGCCTGGCAGAAGACAGCTGGACAAGTGGGCGTTACTTCTCTGTTGTAGCCCCCAAGGGCCCCAAGACCACAGCCCATACTCACATGGTAGGGATGCCCTGGATCTGAATGGGTGTTGGGTGGAGGATGCCCTTTTTTTTCAGGCCTCGAAGGATGGCTGTAGAAAACAATGGATGTTTTATTAGCACCCTGAATCCTGTAGAATTAGCTTTTCCCTACAAGTTGCAAGTCTTGAAACAGGAGCTGGGGGTCATGAAACAGTGGGTCCAATGCTAACTAGTTAACTGGGCCTAACAGTATTCTCACTAAATGTTGTTTAAAAGGAAAATCCAACCATTCTATTTGACCAATAAAAACTCAGGAGGCAGATACTGGGGTGAAAACCTGCCAGCTCAAAAAGGCAGAGAAAATAACCAACTAACCTTCCTTCTCAGCTCAGGTCCAGATGGAAAAAACCTAAACAGCTTACTAGCTCAGCTGACAGCCCAGGAGCAAAAGGCCAAACAAACCCAAGGCCAAAGGCTTGCTAGTTCAAAGCCCAAAAAGCCAGGGAGCTGAGAAACTTTAGCTAAAAGTCCTTTCTTCTTCTCCATGCT